GGGGCGCCCACCATCTAACAAAAAACACCCAAAAAAAAAAAAAAAAAAAAAAAAAAAAAAAAAAGTAGACCCAAGCAGACTTTCATTTTAAAAAGTAAAACAGAATCAAGTGCCCATATGTCGATCTCGAAGCCTGCAGCTTTACGGTACTCTTGATCAGGCCTCAGAGCCTCTGGGGGATCTTAGCTGCTCCGTTGTTTATCATCAGGTGTCTGCACCGAGAGACAGCGGAATGGGCAGGCGCTCGCCAACTGCCTGGCCGGAGGAGGCTTGCCTTTGGGGCCTCCAGCAAGTTCAGTCATTAAAGAAATAAATAAATTAAATTAAAATTGTTGCCTAGATCAATGTCCTGAAGCATTTCATTTAGGCGTTCTTCTAACTAAATTATGATTTTGGGTTTTACATTTAAGTCTTTCATGGACTTGAACTTGATACATTGTGAGTCAGGGGTCTGGTTTCACTCTTCCACATACAATATCCATTTCCCCATCACTTACTGGAGAATCTCCTTCTCCACTGGGTCATCTTGGCTGCAGGTCTGCGGGTTCTCTGCTCTCCCCCACAGGTCTGTGTCGGTGACACGCAGTTTAGACGGAAGCCCGGTAGTGTGCTGCCCTCACCATCATGCTCTGGGCACTTGGCTACTCGGGGTCCTCTGTAATTCCACTCGGATATCGCAGCTGCCTTTCTGTTTCCACGAAGAATGCCATTGCTGTCTCGGTAAGGACTGCACTGAATCCGTGGGTCACTCTGGCCAGTGCCGACGTTTTACAGACGTCGATTCTCCTCATCTAGGAACATAGATATCTTTCCGTTTTTGAGGTCCTCTTCACTTTCTTCCATCAGTTTTCTTTTCTTTTCTTTTCTTTTTTTTGTGGGAGAGATTTTCACTGTAGGGCGTGTGCGCTCGCCAGACAGACAGAGAGAGACATAGAGACAGAAAGCGAGAAATCACCCCCCAGGGGGGATGGTCACGCCGCAATCCCTTCTCCTCCATTCTCCTCTCGGGATCTTGGGCACGCACGCACATGCGCCTGGCGTGAGTTTTAAGCCACCGGGTCCGGGACGTGAACCGCGGTCGACTACGTGGGAGTCCAGCGACATAGCCGTTACGCTACCTGCTGGTTCCCCATCAGTTTTCTTTTTTATCAATAGTTTGCTATATGGCACATAAGCTTGCCAGATACAGAAAAGAGAGAAAATGAGAAATCACCCTCCGGGGTGGACAGCAATCCCTTCTCCGCCACTGTCCTAGAATTTTGGACACGCGTGTACACAGACATGGCATGTTTTTCCTTCCTTCCTTTCTTCCTTTTTATATTTTTGCTATAGGGCATGTGCAAGCACTGGAGAAAAGCAGAAAAGGGAAACAAGCATCCACCTCCTGAGGGCCGGCCACACTGCAGCTCTCACCTCCATCCTCCCCTTGGGGATTCTGGGTATAGGCACATATACACCTGGCATGATTTTCAAGCTGCAGGATCTGGGAGGCGAACCACACAGTCAGCCATGTGCGATCCAGGCACCTTCACCAACACAACACCTGCTGCTGCTGCTTTTATCATTTTCATCAGTGT